TGGTTAAATAATTTGGTGTTTTTCCTTCTAAAAATTTAAAATATGCTTTAAAATTTTTAATGTTCTTATTCTTTTGTATCTGTTTCACATTATATTACATATTGTGTTATTGAATGATCTTTACCACCATTGTGGAAGTGGTACTATAAACTTTTGAATGTATGAACACATGGCTGTGAATTAGGTAGTATCTCATTTTTGTTATTATAAACATTTTTGATGACCACTTAAAAATATAACTTGGTATTGTCCCCTTTCCCCCCAAATTTTACTGATTTCCAGCAAAGGAAAGTCTGCCTTTGAGTTGTGGTGGTCACTTAACTAATACCTTACTTAGGAAGTATGGGGAATATCTGATTTATTGATTAAAATACAATAAATTAAAATGCTCAGTAGGTGGAAGCTATTCTTAGAACCAGTCTTTTTCTTTTCTTACATATATTTTTATTGATTTCAGAGACGAAGGGAGAGGGAGAGAGAGGTAGAAACATCAATGATGGGAGAGAATCATTGATCAGCTGCCTCCTGGGGATTGAGCCGGCAACCGAGGCATGTGCCCTGACCAGGAATCAGACCCTTGACCTCCTGGTTCATAGGTTGACACTCAACCACTGAGCCACACTGGCCGGGCAGAACCAGCCTTTTTCCTTATAGAGGTTGTTGCTCTTAGTAGTATATGAGAGTACCATTTGAGTGTGACCATATACTTTATTATGCGATCTGGGCACTTCAGTCCCAAACCAATGCTAAATCATGTGGAACATCAGGACAAATGTAAACTGGGATCCAGCCATATTGAAATATACACCATCCTGTGATTAAACCACATCTTAACCATAAGTGGCATTTTTTTTAAAGTCACATTTTTCAAGTGAAAATTACATATTTTAGTTCAAATTTATTTGATTACAAATACTGTTGAATTATAGGTTGCTTTGAATAAGCCCAATGGAGTGAAATTCTTCATTTAAAAATAATTGTAAATATTATCTTTATTTTTTTACAGTGCATTCTAAAAGAGACGTAAGTAAAATTTGCTATGTAATGTCGAGTCATCCTTTCTAAATTCATAGACAGTCTTGAGCAGTGCTCATTGCAGTTTCTAATAACCTGGCATCTTTGCAGTGTTCCAGATTACTTTGAATATTTTTTTCTCCTTTCCTTAATATTAATTACTCTGGATAAATCTGCATATTTTATTATTATTCTTGTATACCATAAGGAGAGCTGTTATACAATTCATCCAAATCTTTTTTAACAAGGGCTTATTTACTAAAGCACCCATTTGTGCCAGGCATTTTGCTTGGTGCACGGGACACAGTGGCTTCATTGGGAAAATGTAGATATAGCAAGACAACTATAGCATAGTGGGCTAATCTTGTGAAAGCAGTAGTATGGTGCACAAAGTGGGGACACTTAACCTGAACTTGGGGAACCTGAAAAGTTTCCAGAAAGAAGGGACTTCTGAGCTAAGACCTGGAAGATGAGTAGTATATGTTTAGCTTTTCTCTTGCCTGCCATGTATATTAGTACTGCTGTATTAATTAATATATGGTTCAGACTTGTGGTCCACCCACCTCTTGTCCTTTCTTTTTTAAAAAGATATATTTTTATTGATTTCAGAGAGGAAGGGAGAGGGAGAGAGAGAGAGAGAGATAGAAACATCAATGTTGAGAGAGAATCATTGATTGGCTGCCTCCTGCACACCCCCCATTGGGCATAGAGCCCGCAACTTGGGCATATACCCTCCACCAGAATCAAACCCAGGACCCTTCAGTCTGGAGGCTGACACTCTATCCACTGAGGCAGACCAGCTAGGGCTCTTGTTCTTTCTATGATTAGTATTAGTAATATACCAAGAGACAAGCTTATGAGATGGTATGATTGCTGTAATTGGTCCCCAACTTTAGGCTCTCAATTGTACATGTATCTGTTGCTAGTTTTTCTAAACCTTTTAAAAATTCTGCCTGTTCTTGGGCTATATCACACTTAGATAGTAGTGAATTTATAAGTTAAGTCTTAAAAGAAACATTTTTAAAAATTTCACTTTTTACCCTCAAATTTGAGGCATTGAAACCATTGTGTACATATCAATTTTACATATTAAGGTATAAGATTGATTACGACTTTCCTAGAAGACTCTTCCACATTCTTAGAAATGGTTAAATTCTTAAAATATAGTGAGTTGGTCATTGTGTCTCAGGTAATAGTTTAATAGGGTAGTTTGTTTTGGTTACATCAATTGCATATTTTTGTTAGTTGAATTTGGATTTTTAATTTTTATTATTGTGTTGTAATTCCATCTCAAAGATGGGGGGAGAGTGGTTAATTCAATCATGAAAATGGTAACATAATCACCACATCTCAGGATAACATGAATGTGACAATTGAACAGGACTCCATTGCCTAAATCAGTGTCCTGAGGAGACTTGGGGTTTGCTCCAGGGAACATTAGGCAGTTTTTGGGGAGACATGTTTGGTTGTTACTGGCAGGTGGTGGGTAGAAGGTGGTGCAGGGAAATATTCTACACTCCACAGGACAGCTTCCCACAACAAAGAATTTTCTGGCCCCAAATGTTAGTAGTACCCAGGTTGAGAAACCCTATTCTAAGTGGATTGTGGATCTGTATATATGGTGAATTTAAGAATGTGATGACTTACATAAGCAATTGGGAAAAAAAAAAGTGTGAATAGGAATTACTATGACACATGCCTGGAAATAGATTTTATTGACTTTTTGAGTTATTTGCCTCTAGTCCCCAAAGTTTTTGGTTATCCAGAGAAAAGAGTATTTATTTATTTATTCATTATAGCTCATAGAATACAGTAGGTCCTCGGGTTATGTCCGAGTTCTGTTCCTATGGCGCGACGCAACGCGATTTTTCTCATAAGTCGGAACCCACTTACATAAGCACCTACATAAGCACTTACGTATGTCACTCACATGGAGCACATACACAGCAGTAATTAAGTGAAACAGTAAAAAAAAAAATTAAAAGAAAGATAACAATTCCTGACCTTTACTTGTGGTAAATAAATAATAAAAAACATAAAGCACATATGTACATATGTCGAAATGATGGAACTTTTTTTTTTTTTTATAAATAAATGGGAGATGGTGATGTAACCACGAAACGATGTACTTTGAGTCCTACGTAACCCAAGGACTGTTCGGATCAGTACTGCTAGAGTGCAGTTCTATATTTTGGCAAGAAAGGGCCACTGGTACCACAGTGCCCACTGGCCCACTGTCTAGCTTCATTGGCTCTAGCATTCACTTCTCCTATTTTTGCACCTGAATGTCTATGAAATTGGGATGCATTTTTAATGCATGGTATCTTGTAATTAAAATTGCCAGCCCTCTTGTCTTTTATTATACTCAGTGGAATTTTAGACTTGATGAAATAATGTTATTATGCTTTCTAATCTTACTTTGCACAGAAGGAAGTAGTGAAAAAAATAAAATTAAATTGCTATCTCTGAGAGTATTTACCTTAAGTCTATGACGAGTGAGAAATGTGTGGCAGGAGATCGAATGACTTGCTATTTCATACTGCCTGTGCGGAGAAAGATGCCTGCATGAGTCTTGGACATGGGAGAAGAGATTACATTGTTACACCTTCTTTAGGATACAGTCAGTGCCAATAAGAGCTATTTCCATTCCTTTAAATAATTTGCTAAAGTGGCATGTTTTAGCCAAACATGTAGTACCCTGAGTAGCTTTACAGAATTACTTGTGAGTGAAAGTATTACAACTTTTAACTTTGAGGTTATGATACTGGGATGAGTAAAGTGTTCCCATTGCATCTAAATACTGCAGTAGGTTAGGAATAGTCCAGTGCTTAATGAGATCAAGGGTTACAATCTAGTCCCCAGAATTTCTCCAATTGAAATATTAATTTTTAAGTAAAGTGTGTTCCTTGGACAGAGATTTAACGAGAAATCTCCATAATTTTGGAGTCTGTTGTCCATATATGTAGGATCCTGAAAATGCTTGATGCTTTTCCTTATGACCTAGTTTGAGTAAGGAGCTTCCGATTTCATAGAAATAGAATGAGAAAAGAAACCTCCTGACTGTAATGCAGGTCATTGATCTCCAGGCTGTCTATTAAAACCCTGGAGGTGGATGTAAATCGTCTCTGTCGGAAATATACGGCAGTTTTGTTTTTAATTTATTAAAACTTATATAATTAAAATTAGGGTAACAACTTTCTAAAACTTGAAATTGGTGGTTTTCATGAATGTCAAATGTCCATTAAATGATCTGTAGATGATACATTTTGAGAGGCAGTGTTCCAGTGCTTGTTGAAATAAAATTTTAAGTGTTGGGAGGAAAAAAATCTAATGACCTACCAATCTCTTCCTCCTCCTTCAGGGTTAGCCTCGAACTTTTGTACTTTTTTCTCCTCCCCCCTCCCCTCCCCTC